AATTATAAAAAGTAAACAAGCTTTATATGCAAAGGAATCAGATATGATAACTACGCTTATTCGGGTTTTAATTCTTTATTGCCAAAACTATAACAAAAATTTGCTCGTCTTGATCTGGTTACATAATTGAATAATTCCTCTGGAGTTATACGATTATCCGATCATAGCAAGCGCCTAGTTATTATACTATGCGATACACCATACTTGATAAAGACTATATATTTTATAATGTGCTTGCGAGCACACGCAATTGACTTGAGCTAAATTTATAATTTCACGTAATTTTAATAATTTGAATAGTGTTTATGTTCGGTAATCCATTATTAGTTTGGGAAGATATTTTAATGGTTCTCAAGCTTAAAATAAGTCTTGCAACCGTGTAGATTTGAACACAGGCAATATTATTGTTTTTGTTGATAGTTTCCATCAATTTTTATGCCTTTCTATCTTCCAAATATAATTATTTAAGAACAGTACGTTTATAGTCACTTTATTTAACAGATGGGAAATTTTCATTATTACGATGGTAAAAATGACTGTCTTATTAGATTCTTATCATTTTGTATTCCCCTAAAAATAAATATTATAAGTTAGGCTTCTCTTTGAGATGTTTACTTCATTGGCAATCGTACTAACAGTTTAAACATCTATCATCAATCCAAATTATCTATCGATTAGGCTTCTTAAAGATTCCTACTTTTACTCAATTAATTTTAGAATTTCGTCAATGAATTTCAAGCTGCTACTGAACTAGTAATGCGCGAGGCACAGGCTTTATCTGACAGTGCTGTCCATCAGGTAAATACATCTCATTCACAACTTCTTCATGAAGATTGTAAGGATCTCTTTACTATTCCCTAAAGTAAATTTTTATTAGGTTTCACAATTTTTTTATTGACCTCTCCATTGGATTAAAACATTTCTAGAACCTGAGTGAAAAATAACAACCCTCTTCGACTTATCTTCTCCATGATTATCTAACCATAGTTCAAACTTTATCCATG